TCCACACACCAGCCTCTCGAACAACCCTGAAAAAACAGCAAATTAAACATAGCATACACACCAAAGAGGAAGACAATATGTTTCACATAAACTCAAATTTACTGCTACTATATAAATATATATATATGTAAATTTTGGTTTTATTTTTATAGTATTAGTTCACAATCACAGATATCTCAAGGCATTTTATATTGTAAGCTAAAGACCCTAAACAAACTCACAGTTCTTACTTGGTGATGGTGGGGAGGAAGAACACTCTTTTAACAGGAAGAGGTTGTCTGGCAGAACCAAACTGAGGGGGGAGCATCCATCTGTTGTGACAAAAACAGTCTCTGCACCCTCTGACATGCATCAGTCCTTCTTTTGATTGTTATAAGATTAGGTCCGTTTTGATAGCCCGTTTGTAGCATCTCAACCTAGCATAGATCTGCAGTTTACTCCACTAGCTACTCCAGCTTGCCTTATTAAACATTTTTAAACAAACAAAGGGTCATGTTGTCTCCTCTAATCCGAAGTAGCTCAAGTTTCTGGTTGTTGTCCATGTGCTTCTTTAGCCTTCTTAGAACCATTATTAGCTTTAGCCATCTTCTGCCAACAGATGACACACTCAACCTGAAGCAACAGGTTTTATTATTTCACTCTTTCATTGTTCAGTGTCTGATAACTATTGACACACACACACACACACACACACACACACACACACACACACACACACACACACATATATATATATATATACATAACTATTATTGAGCAGCTACAGCATGGAGATCTTTTATGAAGCACTTCACATAAATTTGAAAGCACTCTTGAAAATACAATCTGCAGAAATAACACTTTAGGTAATGTAGCTGAACTTGTGTTCTAGGTGAGCATTTTCAAATATAACAGTGGGATACAGCAGACTGGTAACGGTATGTGGGAAATCCCACAATAGATGACACTTATGTTATATAAAACACACAGAGTGGAGAAAAAAAAATAGAAATTGACTGAATAGGAAATGATTCATTCATGCGGTAAAGGTTTCAGATTCCAAAAAAACAACCGCATGACTTTTCATAAATCAAATGATAAAACATCAGTGACGTGTGCATCCCTCTCTTAATATTGTTCAATCCATGTGTAGCAACAAATGGGCCTATTTCATAACTTGATTGTGCTTACCGCCTAACAACAAATTATTTCTGTTTTTCATATATTAAAAAAAAAAGCTCTCCAAAAATCTTCCAGATAGCCCCTAGGGGAAATATCCACTAGGGTCCAAGCACCCTGTGCTCTAATGGGTATTTAGGGCGGTGTGTGTGTGGGGGGGGGGACAAATGTCCATATTTCTGGAAGTAAAAGAAACACATCACCCACATGAGGTACATTCATGTGGCAACGATCGTTTTTAGACCACAAAAGAACTTTATCACAAGACTTATGTTCTAGAATAACTTTATTTTTCCTTACTAACAAGAACAGGTGATTAAACCATGTTGTGCATATCACACACCATAACAATAAACCTCAGGTGATCATTCAATTCAATTCAATTCAATTCAATTTTATTTATATAGCGCCAAATCACAACAAATGTCGCCTCAAGGCGCTTAATATATAATCAGAGTGTTAGTCCAAAGCAGAAGGAGCTCATAACATCCATCACTGGCACTTGTCGCTGTTTCCCAGCGTGCATCGTGCCTCTCTGTGTTTTTCTACACATGAGGCCAAAACACCCAATTACTGCCTGAGGACCTGAAGGTGCAGAGGGTAGCGTGGGGCTGCTGCAGCCGCGGCGCAGGCGAAATTCCAGCCTGAACCACCTCATGACATCATGCTCATAAATTCCCCGCTACAGCCAAATGGCTCTTCAGGTGCACTTGTTGGGGATCGGCACCAATGTCCAGGTTGGGCTGCGAGACAGAAATAGGAGGGAGCTAAATCAGCTCTCATCCTTTGTTCCATCTTTGAGGCTTTCAAACACATAATACTCTACAGCTATGGCAAACAGACACACACACACAAACAAACAACAAAGAAAACTGGTACTGTGTTCTTTTATGTAGAGAGATATTTGTCTTCGGGGAGGGATAAAGTCTTGTGAGAGGAGCTGGTTGGCTTTCAGCTGAGAGGAGCTGATAGATGCACATCGATCTTATTTATTCTCATTGCCATGAGAGTCTGCAGCCTTTCAGCACAGACGAGTGTCATCTACAGTGGTTACGCATCACCTGATAGTTGCTCCCTGCTAATTCACGACTGAATGGTGGATCGATAAAGCTGAGTGTGTTTTTCAATCTGTTGCAGGGTGATGTCTTTTATTGAAAAAAGTGTGGCTAGACTGGAGCAGCTGGACAGACTGGAGGCTCTGGCTCTGGAGCTGGGGAAAAGCCATTATCATTACAACGCCCCGCCTAAGTACTACAGCGTAAGGCCCCCGATGATCCCCAACAGCTTTGAGCTGCTGTCTGTTTGTGTGTGATGCTGCTTTGTTTGGAGAGGCGTACACATATTTTTTAATTTGTGTTGATGGTGTAGCGCTTTATTAGCCATTATATAACGAGACCCCTAAAGTCACAGCAGCCGAATTAGCTGACGCACAAAAATGCTTTACCCACCCGCTCTTGCAAATAGCACATAACAATCCACGAGCACATTAGCATCTCACATTATTATTTTTGTTATTATTATTTATTTTTTTCCCCCAGTATGTTGGAGCAGAATTCATCTGCGCCGTGCAGCCTATCTTGAAGGAGAGGTGGACGGCCGAGCTGGAGGAGGCGTGGAAGGTAAGGAGCCTGTGACCTGTGAGTCTCTCCACCTCCCGTTCTGGTTAAATAACCTCGTGGAATAGATGTGATGGCTGCGACCATCACAGCAGCAACGCTGGTTCCTGCTCGACTCCCTTCTTTAATGCTCCGCGTAACATGTCAAGATGGAGACTAATGCAACACAAGTTTGACTGATGGTAAAATCTACATCTCACTGAACCATGCAAGAGGGTGCTGAGCAAGTGGAAAGTGTTTCTGTCACGACGAGTTTGATCACTCCAAGACGGGTTTTTTTTAAATGAAAGATTGCTGATGCTGCTCAGAGAGAAACGTTTTAACAGCTGTAAAGAAAAATCCAAATGCTCAGATCTAAAGTATAATATCCACATAAAAACTGTGCATCCTTTTCCATTTTGACCCTCTCCTGCTCTCTAGTGGCTAATGCTGGTTTGTCACACGTCAGCAAAGTTTAAAGTTCATAATCTGCTAATACATTTGCAAAAAAGTCCTACCTTAACATTTTCAGAGGAATGTTTTGTATTCTGTGTGTGGGTTTCTTAAGCCACTTAATACTAACCTATGAATCATTCAAGCACAAAAAAGAAGCTTAAATCGAGGGATTTGGGGAGTGTTATGTCCACACATAACAGGTAATTTAGCAATGAACTCATTTTAAATCGTATCTTTAGGCCCTTTGTTACAAGAAGCCTGTCAAATAAAACAGACGATTTGTTCCCATGTCTTTGTCTGAATTGGCAAAGCAAAACTTTTTTTAAAAATGCCAAAGATAACACCAGTTTAAAGACATAAAATAATGTTTTCACCAACAAGGTGATTCTCAAAGACCTTTATCTCACAGTGCAATAAGTTTGTGAAAAGGGTGTATTAAATTACACACAGAAGAGGAGGGAACTGCTAAAACCTGATGACAAAAGCTTCACACTTCAAGGGTCAGCATGTGTGTAATGCTTATTGTTTCTGATCCAGACCATGTTCCAGTTTGTGACCAGCCTCATGAACCAGGGATACCAGGAAGAGAGCGCCCGGCAGTGCCAGCTCGCGCTATCCCCAAAGGAAAGACCGGACAAGAGAAACACAGCGCTATGAGACAGCACTTCTTTTAACCGCCACACAGACTGTTATCGCCAGTACAGCACAAAAATGCAGTTTGTAAATAGCGTATTAACCGTAATGTTTCCCGTCTTGCTCACGTTTGGTCCTTTAGTATTTTAACAGACAAAAACGAGCTGTGACTGTTTAGAAAGCACTTTATTTTTGAATTTAAATTCTGCTGCTGTCCTCTTGTATGAGAGCAGGACTCGGGTATCACGGTGGGACAAACACAAATGGGTGGAAACGCTTTCTGGCTGCAGTCAAACATGCTTTGTGATTGTGATAAACAAAAAAAGGCATCTGAATTACAGCCAATACTCCTCTCTGTATTTATAACTCAAACATGCTTTCAGTAAATCTGCAGCTTTCAACATTTTCTGCACTATTGAACCAAATCATGACATCATTCAGACATTAGCTGAAGCTGTAATATACATATTGGTGTTAAAGTATTTAAGACAGCCAGTTTAACAGCTTGGTATCGGTATGTAAAAACAGTGACTAGAATATTAATTGTGCCTCTAAAGACATAATAAAATTTAAAAAAAATACAGTACATGACATTTGACCCCACCAGAAAAAACAAAACATTTGGTTCTACGTGAAAACTCAGACGGACATTTAAATCCAATTTCATGAAAAAAGAAAAAATGAAACATCTAAAACCAGCTGAATTAGAATGAGCTAGCACAACTTTTATTTTTAGCTGGTAACATAACATAAATATGCTCTCTAACAATTAAATAGAGTGAAGGGCTGTTAATCATCGGGCTCCAGAGGCAGCAGAACTTTTGAGAATCTGGTCCCGAAGCAGAAATGGTGGAGATGATGAATGAGAAATCCTCAGTTTTCTGTTCCAAATGGCACTGGGCAGTCAGGGATGAGATGTTATCATGCAAACAATGGCATAATATCAAAGCAGTCCGTGAATCTGAGGCCTCGAATGAATGGGAGGAAAGCAGATTGGGGGCTGCAGATCACATGGAGCCCTCTCCCACTCCCCTCAGATAGTGCGAACCAGTTTAGGTACCCAAGGTTGTCTTAGAGTCTCTTGCTCATTGGGTGGCTTTGGTTTTCTTGCTTTTGCTTTTCTTGTCTTTCTTCTTAAGTCCATCCATATGAGCTCTGAGGAGGTTAGAGTACGCCTGAAAATGAAAGAAGTACAAATGGTGGATTTATCAAAGAGGCAAAACTTTAAGAAAAATATGATAGTTTCAGTCTTATATGGAGATCAAAAAAGATTTTAGATGAAAACTTGCTCAACCTACCATCTGAAATTTGATAACTTCTTTGGTGCTGACCTGAAATTATAAGTGAAAAATCAGGATTAACCAGCTGTGGGGTGGGGATGGCAAAGCATCTCAAAATTAAAATCTTAAAGCAACTTTAGCTCACCACTGTGCTAATTTTCTTCTTGCCATCAGTCGCTCTGAGGAGACATTTGTTGTCTGCAGGTTCAAAAGACTCCGCGTGGCCCTTTCTGGGCACCGGTTTGGTTCTCCCATCATCTGGAAGAATGAAAGACTCTTATTAAAACTGCTTAAATATAAATAAATACATTTTGAAACATGGAAATTCACAGCTTGGTTGTCGCTTTTAGAAAAACCCACTTACACTTCTTTAATGTGATGACAACACTGCCTGATGTTCTGCATTTCTGGAAGAGCCGTGTCAGCTCTGTGAGAAACTGGACAACAGGAGGAGAAAGAAAAAAAGATATGAAATCAAGCTAACAGTCATGCAGAGTAGTTTAAGCATGGTCAGCAAGATTATGTAAAAACTACACCGCCGAATTTCATGAAACTTGGTGAAAAGGTGAAGCATGGGAGGAGGAAGAATTAGTTTAAATTCGGTGTGGATCCAGATTATTTTATTTAAAAGTACCGATTAGAGAACTGGCCTCGATAGATGATACAGACTGCCTTACTAGTAATATTTTATCAAACCGTTAATCCTAATCGTAACAATAAGATTTTTATTACTTATTTTCACTATTGTTAATCTTAAACTAATACATAAAAGGAGACGAGAGGACAAGACATTTCAAGCATTTAATGCTACTGCACTGCTCCACAAAACTGCAACAGTTTAGCTAAGTGTAATCCAATTTAACAAGTGGCAGCTGGAGATAATGTTAAACACACTTGGCTGAGAACCTACGAATTTCGGTTAGCTCCTTTTTGACCTGAACAATCAAATTATGCCAGGAAGTACAACTTTAAAGTCTAACCCAGTCTTAGCTTCAGAGCTAACTGCTAATCTCAATCTGCCTACTGGCGTGTCTAACATTGTGGCTATTAGCATGCTAGCTTTACGACAGCTTAAGAATACAATGTCTACTTTTATCTCATAGTCAACGTCAACAACAGGCCGAGTTATTAACGAGGTATATTTGCTCTTACCGAATCATTTTCCAGCAGCACCATGTCTCTGACTTCAGTTGTGGTGTTAACTCACTAACCGCAAGCTAACTGCTGTGAAGCACACGTAGCCTACTGCACAAGCCGAAGCCCCGCCCTGCGACCTCATGACCTGTGCGCGATAGATTTACCTCACACTGCCGCCTACTGTTCGGGAGGGCAAAAACAAGCAATGACACACTTGTTTGTAATAAGTTTTAAAGGAAACATTTGTACATTAATATCCATAAGTTGTGGGGAATTAAGTCAACATGAATAAATACATTCTTTGTGTCTGAAAGAACTGCGGCAGATCTGATTCTGCCATCAGCTGATGCAGACGTAGTGTGTGACATTGTTCTCTCAACTATAGCTAACCTGCAAAACAAATGACTATGTTTGTTGTACAGAGGTTACTGAAAGAAGAAGAGAGAAAAAGCTCACTTGACCCAAAACACCAATCTTACTTTACATATTTCTGAATGATCAGGCTCTATCATATTTTAAGACCTCACAGTCGCATATGATCCCAATAGACCACTGCCTTCTCAGACACCAGGCTTACTTGTGTTTTTCTCAGGTTTCCAAAAGCAAATTGCAAAGAGCTTTCAGCTGTCAGGATGTTGTGCTGTTGGGAAACCTTAGTTTGGATTCAGGAGACAGGGACACTCTCTTTTTTTATGATTAGGCTTAACACCAACTTTTAATGACTTTTACAGTTAGAGTTGGATCAGGTGTCCATGAACCATCCCTCAATTATGTCGGTATAGACTCAGGCAACTGGGGACCTCCCCAAGACAGCCTTGGCATTCTCCCCACCACACTTTGTGTTTTGTTTGTCTATCTATGCTCTCTTTCTTCTCTTCTCTTTCCCTTGAATCCCCAACAGGTCACTGTAGATGACGGTCTCTTCCTGAACCTGGCTAACTGACAAAGGTGTCTTCTTGTTAAAGGGGAGTTCCTCCTCCCCACTTTTCCCAAAAGCTCTTCATGGTGTATCATCTGATTGTTTGAGTTTTCTCTCCAATCTATGGTGTCCTTACCTTACACTATGGTTCACGAAGTTAAAGAATCTCAAAGCGACTGTTGTGAACTGACACTATAAAAAAAGTCTAAAGATCAGATTCTTTTTCTTCCCACCATATCTTTATTACACTGTTCTTTATGCAAAAAAGTGCAAAACAGATCAGCAGTCCAAGATCTCACCCCATCTGACAGCATCTGCAACACTTGGGTGGAAAAATATACAAGGACCAACACAAACAAAAGTACAAAAATCTACCAACAAACTGAACAATTGCAGACACAAACAAACAGAGGACATCCATGCAACACATCGGAAACAAAGATGAGGTTCTTATTGCACAGCTGCAGCTTTCACTGCCCTTGCCTGTAACTCCAGGATTGTGCTGGCGCATTCAACCAATATTCCTGTGCTGGCAAAAGGAATGGATTTCTCAGCCTTTCTTTGATGACTTTCCCTATCAAACCTGCGCTTATCTGATCAGACCAGCAGGTGTAAACATGGCTTTGCAGTGCTGTGCTGCTCAGTGTTACTTAGATACTGCAGCCACAGGTACACAAAAGTCTCATGCATGTTTACATATTTAACCATGACATTAAAATGCACTCAGTGGTTGATATCATTAATCATGCTTTAAAACAATCAGCTCAGCAGTGAATGATCACACTGCGCCTGAAAGAAAACTGTAAATCTGACAGCACATGTACTAAAACATGTTCAGTCAGAACTGTAGCATGACACATTTAGTAGGTTAATCAACATATGTGACAGTTGTATAAAAAAATATCATTCCTTACAAAAAGACCATAAAAACAGCAAAATACTGTGTCCCAACTGGGATTTGAATGTCATGAAATGCACTTAAGATTCATAAAAGAGCTTCAGTCATCTCGATAGTGAACAGTCTGGGTGGTGTCCCAGGTCATCGAGGAGCACAGCAAACTCTGAATACCAGTCTCTGTTAAATACTGCCTTGAGCTGACTGTACAGGGTCGTATTCTTCATTTCAGGTTGAGATGCATGCTGGGATACCACCAGGCCCACTCCAGCGGTGGTAAGAAAGTAGTCTCCTGACCAGTTAGAGGTACCTGGGTAGCAGCAGAGCATAAACCTGGTCAGAGATTCCATCAACTGACTTAGAGCAACGACGCATTTGTAGAATAACTGTGTTTCTCACCGATATAAGCTACTTTATCAGTCACCATGTATTTGTTGTGGTTGACTCTGGAAAATGGAATATCGGACTGGTTTGCCACTGGGACGATGTAGAGTTTCTGAAAAAAGAAAGGAGCGTAAACACAATTTTTTTTTTTTAAAATAGTGGCAATCATCTTCAGGAGTTTCATGTATCCCATGTTGCGTCTTACTATCTGGATGCTGATATGCTGCTGAGGAGAGTCGAGTGAGGCTAGAGACTGAAGAAAAGGCAACATGTCTGGATCAGAATCCCGCCCGCAGCTGATCAGCATCCTGATATGCACTTTCCTTTCGAACGCGGCCGCCTTGATGGCATCCTCGATGACCGGCCAGTATCTGCTGAGTGAAAGCCGAGGATTTCAGAGTGAGGAAAACAGAGGAAAACGATGTGGATCATTAATGTGGAGTATTTTCTGTAAGGGGTTAAGTTAACCTCCGAGGCTTGTCAAAGCGCGTGGTGGGGAAGTACTCCATGACAGCTACATCAACATAGTGTTGAGCCCCGTAGATGATGGAGAGAATAGCATCCAGGTCCTGAGTCCTCGATGGAGGACAAAAGGACGGAGGAGAAGCCTGGAGTGAAACACAAGAAATCAACAGGAGCACTTGATTCATAACCACAGGTTTTAAGTATGTTTTTGCAGACATAGCTGCAGACTACAACCCTTTCTCTATTAATGATAAAGAAAACCTAACAGTATCCTTTAAAAAGGAACTGAAACCTAATGAACTTACTGCCACATACAGCCGGGTGGAGATGTTATTCTCTTTCACCAGCAGGGGGTGTTGTTTGTTGATGTCTGTGTTATAGTTTGCAGGCCAAGGCTGTGGCAAAGAGCTGTTGGGTTGACCCATCACCCAGTAGGACTGGAAGATTTTACGAAGGTCCTTTGCAAGACGGGAGCAGTTGTAGATCACAACTCCTAGTTCCTTCACCTGAAGTTAAAAGTAACTCATTGAATTGTTTAGCAGCGTTTCTAAAGGTTCAAAATAGCAAAGTACCTTTGATTGTCTAATGTGAGCGTTCACCTGTGTTAAAGCCCTCCAGTCCATGTTGGCGCTTCCAATAAACACGTGTTTCCTATCGACAATCCAGAACTTGCTGTGGAGAACGCCGTTTGCAAGGCGGCCAAAGTCCACCTTTCTTACATGAACTCCTACAGGCAGGAAGAAAAAGACAAGGGTCAAAGTCAAGCTGGTGCAAAGAGTTGGTGGCCTACAAGACTTTGTTGAAGAGAAAGCAAACCTTTTTGTTTTAAGATCTCTAAATCGGTAGAGTTTGTTCTGACGGTGGGAACACTCGTTATCAATCGGACAGTCACATTTCTCGAAGGAAGCTCTTCAAGCTCTTTCAGGATGTTCCTTCCCTGCCAAGGACACAATGAAAACATTAGAAGAAAAACGTTTGTAGGGATGTTTTAATGAGGAACACAACTATCCACTGCAGCTGGTAACTCACGGGCATATCAGAGGAAGAGTTGACACTGATGTCTTCCCCAGTTAACGTCCAGTAGAAAGAGACCACATCCACTTCGTTTGTTGCCACTGAGATGAGATTGTTCCAGACTTGTTCAAGAGGGATCCCAAATGTTACGTTGTCTTTGTATTTCATATGTTCGGGAATGCTCTCCACAAGGGCCATGCTGCAGGATTTAAAAAAAGACATCTGCTCAGGGAATTATTTGGAAGCTGAAGTGGAAACAATTGGAGGAAGTAACTTTTAATCTTTAAGTCTACAGATGTGGAGTCATAGACTCATCCAAAGCTTTAACTGACATCTATGAGGTGCTTTTACCCTTTTTAAGGGGCATTACAGCTTCCCTTTAACCTCTATCTCCTTAAAAAATAGTCAAAGTTGATGTTTTGTAGTGTCAAAATATTACTGCAAATGAACTTAAAACAAACACTTGCTTCTACTAGCAAAATGATTTTGAGGGTTACCGGGAGAAAGGCTCTTTTCTCCAAAAATATCTCGATGGCTTAGGTTTGCAAAGTTGCATCTGAACAGACAACAAGAGT